GTTTTTACTCGTGATCTTTACAACACGCATTACATTACGTATTTCATGGCACACTCGTTTTATGGGTATTTGGTGCCACCTATTGTTGTGGGTGTATTATTGACATGTCAAAGTCTAGACCCTGAATATAAGACCACCGCGTTTTTTCAGATGTATTTCCAAGAAAAAAAACATCGTCTTATATTCGGGTCAATACGGTACAAACAGAAACAAAATAAAAGTTATTTTAACTTGAAGAAACTGTGACAGAAATATATTATTTAATGTAATGATAGTACTACTACTAATAATAATACAATTATTATTAAAACATTTTTTTAAGGAATATTTACCAGAAACATTATTTACCAGAATTGATTTACAAGAAAAATTGTAAATACTCAACACAGTAATTCTGGGAAAAGAAATAAATAAAATAATAATAAATATTTTATTTTTTTTGTAAAATCAGTTAATTAGAGATGCAACAAGCTTAATTCAGCTGTAATCAGTTCTACATACACTCTTAAAAATAAAGGTGCTTCACGATGCCATAGAAGAACCTTTTTGTCTAAATGGTTTCATAAAGAACCTTTAACATCTGAAGAACCTTTCTGTTTCACAAAAGGTTCTTTGTGGTGAAAGAAGGTTCTTCAGATTACAAAAAGGTAAGAAAGAGATGGTTCTTTAAAGAACCTTTGACTGAATGGTTCTTTGTGGAACCAAAAATAGTTCTTCTATGGCATCGCTTGAAGAACCTTTTGAAGTACCTTTATTTTTAAGAGTGTAAGAAAATAGTAGGGTTATTTGGCTCAAGTCAGTTCAGTGTTGGTTCAGTTCAGTTGAAAAGCATGTTCTGCATCCAGGTGCGAACTCAGGGTCCTATTTTGACGGCCAGCGGGAAGAACCCAGTCATGGAGCTGAATGAGAAACGTCGCGGGCTGAAGTACGAGCTCATCTCAGAGAGCGGAGGAAGTCACGACAAACGCTTCGTCATGGAGGTGGGCCTCACCAGACACAAATGTACCACTTTATCCCTGTTCACCAATAAGACTGTTTACTAGTGATGTTTGCTAAGGTGAGCATTACTTTTATTGTTATTACTCATACTGGGGGAGAGGGATTTGAATGAATCTCTAACCCAAGTATTAATCTTTGTTGTGTAACATGTCTCACGCAGTTTGTGCTGCAGACATGACTTTAATGAATTACTCTCGCCTGAATTTAGAAAAGAGAGGTGTGCCATCACTTTATGCGATCAAACATAGGTTTTTAACTTGGTGGAAAACAAAATGCATGATAAATCCTTTAAGGGGAGGCCCAAGACATGGGAATCCACAATAATGTAGCATTGTGGAGCTTACTTTTTCAATGACAAGAATCATTCACATTTGATTTAGAAAGTGTGAAAAAATTTAGATTTTTTTTTTCTTCTTTGAAATAAGTCTTTTATACTCACCAAGACTGCATTTATTTGATCCAAAATACAGTAAAACAGTAATATTGTGAAATATTAGAATTTGAAAGTACTATTTCTTTTGACATTTTTCATTTGTAATTTGTTCCTGAGATGCAATGCGGAACTTCCAGCGGCCATTACTCCAGTTTTCAGTGTCGGCATCACACCTTTGTATCACAGGAATAAATTACATTTTAAAATATATTCAAATACAAAACAGCCATTTTTGTATTCTTTCAAATACAAAACAGTTATTTGTAAAAAAAAAAAATAATAATAATAATAATAGTTCACAAGACTACTGTTTTTGCTATATTTTGATGAAATAAATGCAGCCTTGGTGAACATACGTAAGAGCATTTAAAAAGAGAAAACTAATTTTTTTTCAACCAAAATATACACATCATCTCAGATTTCAGTCATTGATATAATTTCCTGTTCAAAATCCTCACCCCATGTTCTCGTGGGCAGGTGGAAGTGGACGGGCAGAAGTTTCGTGGCGCAGGGCCCAATAAGAAAGTAGCCAAAGCCAGCGCTGCCCTCGCGGCTCTAGAAAAACTCTTCTCCGGGCCTAATGCTGCTGGCAACAAGAAGAAAAAAATAATCCCTCAGGTAGGTCACCTGTTGCTTCGACTAGTGACCAATAACATCCAGATAGGGTTGTTCAGTATTCAGTCTGTTCCTGGGATAACCAGGATCAGTGCTTGGTAATCCATGACTGCTCTATTAGATATTCTGTGATCAATATTTCCTCGATGAAACTGAGACCTGCAGACTAATTCATCTCTTTTCTCCAGAAATCAATCTGGCAACACTACACTTGGTATTGCTGTAGCTTCTCGTTGCTGATTAAAGCCTGTGTGTATTGTAGAGTAAAGGGGCATTAGCTGCAGCTGCTGCTGTGTCTGCCGTCGCGGTCCAGGCAGCACGAGGACGAGGAAGACCCACCCTCACACGAGGAGCCTTCATCAGCGCTGCGGCAGCACCTGGATACGTCACACCAGGTGTGTGTTTGATGCCAGACAGTGTTTCTATAGTGACTAAAGACCTGTTTACCTTTTGGCACATGTAAAACTACATGCAACAATGCATTTACATTACAGAAGTACCCATTTAGCTACAATTTACACTATCATTCAAAAGTAAAGTAACAGTAAAGATTTCTAAACCAAATAATGCTGAACGTTTGCACTTTCTATTCATCAAAGAATCCTGAAAATAAAAACATATGATAGTTTTCACAAAAATATTAATCAGCAAAACTGATTTCAGCATTGATAAGAAATGTTTCTTGAACAGAAAATCAGCATATTAGAACAGGATCATGTGACACTGAAGACTGGAGTAATGATGCTGGAAATTCAGCTTTGATCATGGGAATAAATTACATTTTTAAATATATTAAAATACAAAACGGTTAACTGAATAATTTGAACAATATTTCACAATATTACTGTTTATAATGTATTTGTGTCAAATCGATTTCAGCTTTGGCGAGCATAGGAGACTTCTTTCAAAAACACGTACTGACCCCAAACTTTTGAACAGTTGTGTATAGATAGACTATACTAGATTTTTATGCTATTTTGTCTAAAGTAAAAACAATTATACATTTAAAATTAAAATCTTGTCATTTTGTTGCTTTTGACCAATAATCTTTACAATCACCAATGGTGTACTGCACAAGTGATCAAGTTTATTATTATGAAACTTGTTTTTTATTTTTACATTTTACTTTGTATAATTCCTTCAGATACAGTATTTGAACATTATCAGAGAATAATGAAATGTTTTAAAATATATGTCTCAGTTTGAGTCAATACGCATTCATTTTGAATGGGAGCACCCACTCTTGTTTTTAGCATGGTATTATGTTATTATTTTCATTTGTTTACTTGTTTATTAGTAGATGTATTTACATATAATTAATGCACTGCCTGGCCAAAAATGTCACTGTCAGGATTTAAATACGTAAATACTTTGATTGAATCAATATTGCAGTGATTGAAATGTTTCTGGCAACAATTATTGTAACCCTAACTAATGCAGTGTGTAGCTTTTCATTTCTTCATGTCCATATTCAAGGCCAGGCAGTGTATAAAGTTTGCATAATAGTCTTCAGAAAGGCTCTGTCATATGACTCATGACAGTGAAGTCAAAGGTCACAGGTAGTGTTGAGGCCCTGACACAAATCATGTGAAGGAGTCGTAACTCTTCACCATATATCATGAATGCCGTGTTCTCGCAGGCTTCGGAGCCCCATACGGGTACAGCGCAGCGGCCGCCACTCCTGCATACGGTACGTACCCCTTCCTTCCCGTCCTCCCTTCCTCCAGTCAGGGTCTAGGGTCCACATCTGCCCCCACTTACTCCCCCATTCGGCTTTCAAACCCCAAAATCACATCCCCAAAGAATCCCGTAGAGAAATGACTCCCTGGACGATGGAAACGAACCATAACCTTTTGGTTCTTAACTGTGGTTGGAGCAAGACTTGCTGCACCTGGCCTGAGTGTGACTTTGCTCGTCTAGTCTGCCTGCTCGACGCTTGGCCCGTTTCTCCTGACTCTGGGCGGCTCTCTAAGCGTCAGCGTAGTGCTGCTGTCTACAGCACACAGTTACACCATTCAAAGCAGCCGCTGGGCATGATGGGTGAGAGGAAGATCACGCTAAACACAGTCTGAAGACTAGTGCTGCGACTAGCTAACATAGAGCGAATACATTTTAAAGGGATAGTTCAACTAAAAATGAAAATGATGTCATCATTTACTCACTCTCATCTCGTTTCAAGACTTCATTTTTACTGTGAAACACAAGAAAAATTGATTTTCAACCATTTTTGTTCACACAATGAAAGTCAATGGGGTCTAAGTAACAACTGACATGCATTGTAGAGACAAAAGACAATTTTTAGGGATTGTAGCTAAACTTTGGTATTTAGGGTGAGTAAAAGATTACAGATTTAAAAAAAAAAAAAATTTTATTTAAGAACAACATTGACATTTAAACGTTCAGTCTGTGTCGTCTAAAGACCCGTTTACAATAGGAAAAATAACTAACGATAACTTTATTAGCATCCGCTTTAAATGCTCATGCTTTAAGGTCTTTGCACACTGAGTCTGAAATTTTCGCACGTAAAAAAATAAATGCGACTTCACGTTGTCAGTCACGTTTACACACTTTCGTCCGTTATAAAAAATTTCGGATCAGGTTCGATTTTCTGCGTTTTCACATCTGTAGCAAGCATTTTAATAGGAAAGGATAATGAATACAGAATTTAAAAAAAACGCATACAAAAATCAGCCCTAGTTAATATACTAGTAAACACAGTGTAATCTCCAAACGGGCCCTTATCCTAATACCGCCTGCATACTAGAGAAAGCTCTGACAAAGTGTTTGACCATTAAGAAAAGTGCAAGATCCCTGACATTCACAGCTCCTCATGGGACAGGCCCATCTGATGTGCACTTTAAAATCTCAGCAGTATGTTTCACCTATTGATTTATATAGTGTAATTTCAGACGCACTGCTCGTATCATGTACTGCTTTTCGCACACTGTACAGTAGAGAAGTAGGCACATCCAGAACCGTGATTAGTATTATTTATATACCATTAAAGTATTCATATTTTGAATGAAGTGCTTTTATCAATTTTATTAGTTTTTTATCCAATTTTAATTGTAGTCATTTTAGTACTTAAATGTTTTTAAAATTAAATGTTGCCTTGGCAACTAACTGAATGTAAGTTAAAGATTTTCATTGTATATTCATGTTATTTTATTTCAGCTTTATTTGAATAAAAAAAAACATTTTCAGCGGTTTTAGTTTTAGTTTCAACAATAACAATACAACGCAAAAAACACACCGTACCGGGAACGCTCATCCGCTCAGAAACGTATAAACACTTGAACACACAAATACAGGAATGCACACACAGTCCATCGGGTTTCTAAACTAAAACTCCTCACCCGTCTGTGTAGTGTGTTGTTCTAGGAGTGCCTCTCCGGTCAGGCTCAGATGAAGATGCTTTGAATGAGCCTTATGTGCAGGGGGGACTAGGTGAGGTGGGCTCAGCGGGAACCAAGCTGAATTTGGAGGGTGTTTGCTGGGTTTGGTGTGTTTATTTCTCGGAGGATAAGGGGGGCGGGTGGGGGGTGGATATGGGGTTGCTCCCAGCGCCCTGGTCTCTGCCTGCCACATAAAGACTGTTCCTTTAGGTGGAAGGTGAAACCCGGTATTGTGCTGTAAGAGAACAGTGCGCCCCTCTCTTTGACGTCTCTCCGGTTCGGTGCCTGAGAGCTGTGTGCATGCAGTAATTCTCACCAGTCATCTTACGCTGTCCAACCCTCTTCCTCCTGTTGCTGCTTTGGGATTTCTAAATGGGAACGACTGTGAGACTACGACTACTATTCACACACATGTACAAACACACACGGCACAGAATGAACACTCCACATAAGAGCGCCAGCCGGCAGATCACTCCTGTAACCCTCCATGTGCCCCGACCCACAATTCACATGTATGCTTCAGACGCTAAGTTTAACTTTATTACTTTCAATTAGATAGTTCTGTCTAGTAGTTAAGACTAGGGCTGGGCAATATATTGAATATTTATGAACATTATTAAGTTGATTTAAAATTAACCACATGAATATCACAACAATATTAAGCTGTTTTTTTATTTCCTTAATAAATGTTGCAACATAATGCAAATTAATTCTCTAATTTAATGTTCTAAATTAAAAATTGTAACTAGAATTTTACCACATTTTTGTACATTTTATACAAATGTATTAACATATACTATAATATATTCATAATTTCTCAATTTTATATTAATAAATATTATACATTTAATAAAATTACAAAAACATGATTTGTGTAAACCTGAAAAACATACCTCGACTTTAACATTTTACTGTTATTATTAGATTTGTACATTGTGAATAAAATAAAACCAAATAATTATTCCATTAATTCAGTGTTAATTTTGTGTGAAAAAAATCTAGATTTTAACTGTATATTATTATTTAACTAGATTAACTGTATATTATCATTTGATTTTTATAGATTGTAAATAAAAAATATATTATTATTCCTTTAATTTAGTGTTAATTTGTGAAAAACTGAAAACGGTAACTTGGTTATTATAACTAGAATTTTACTGTATTTTATTTGATTTGTTTCAAATATTTTATGAATAAGATAATTTGTTATTATTGCATTAGTCTGTTAATTTCATGAAAAACTGGAAAACATACTATGATTATTTTCAACTGTAATTTTACTGTGTTTTATTGTTAGATTTATACATTGCTGAAATTGATGATAGTTCGGTTAAAATGTTTGGGTACTTTGAGAAAATATCTCTGAAAAATATTAAAATAATTAAAAATATATATATATAAAATAATTTATCAAAGTATATATATACTGAATTTCAGCAACTTATACAATTTATTTAATGTACAGTATATCATTCAGCCCTACTCAAGAACCATTATTCATAAGATGACTGAATATACCATTCAGAAGGTCAACTGTATGCGTATATCATATCACATGACATTAGCCAGCAGGTACATGTGTGTCATCTGAATGAATGCTTGATTTCTACCCTCTCTTTTCACCCGACCTCACTCTTCCTGTTCTTCCGCTCTCTTGGGTTCATGTCCCCATGCTACAATGAGACTGAATTGGCATTAGCTTCATTTTAAACAAAACACCCTCAGGTCTTTTATTTTGTCCTGGACTTATGTGGAGTGCTCTTTTCATTTTCTCTCTAGGTTTGCCCAAGAGAATGCTTCTGTTGCCCGTCATGAAAGTGCCCGCCTACCCCGTCCCTCACTACTCTTTCTTTTAGCTCAGGAGCCTACTTTACACACACATACACAACGTAAATGTACGTGGGAAGGGAAGGTCAGATAGCACAGCCCTATCATATATAGGGACAGCTATAAGGGTATTTGTGAAGTGCTTTTTATTTGATCATCACATTTTTTGTTCTCTTACTGTCTTCTGGTTTTAAGCAAATACAGGTTTTATGTTCTTCAGAAAGAAAACTTGAAGGATTTGTACTGTGAATTATTACCTCATTCTTGGAAATTTAAATTATATCAGCCTCTTGTTATCATGGTTGTGTTTTTCTTGTAGTATGGAAATAGGCTGTCACGACAGGCTTAATCTATGTACGCATATCAGGAGCTGTGTTTAAGATGTATAGATCTAATTCATACTACTGCTAACAAATAAACATTTATCTTCATGAACTGCTAAGCACTGACTGGTGTATATTTGAAACTCTTTAGTTACTCATTTACCATATATACTGTATATATATATATATATATATATTCTACTGTAGCAGTTTTAGCAGCTCTAAATGTACATTTCGTTTAGCTTTCAGATACCTTCAGAAGTTTTAAGGCATGTTTTAGGTTCAATACAATGTTTTCTCTGTGGACAGCATCTTCACATTCTGTTGATGACCACAGAAAATTATTCTGATTTGTCCCTCGGTTTGTAAAAATAAGCAAAAATCACTGTAATGCACTTTCTGTCTATGAGGTTAGTCATTCTAAAGAGGTTTTTGTTTGGTATTGGTTTGGGGTTTGTTCTTTGGTTTTGTTTGAACTTAAAGTGACTGTGATATGTACTGTATAATGTTAAAGCTATATTTTTTAAAACGTTTGTCTTTATTTTAATGTTAACATTTTAATATACAAATATATGTGTATTTTACTGGGGGGGCTTCAATTATAAGTGGGGACTTTTGTGCACACTTAAAAATATATATATTTTAAATGTATTGATACCAGCTGTGGGACGAGTCAGTTCTCTTCTGTGATAATCAAAAGTATTTATTGAACCCAGAACATTCCTTTTTATTTCCTTTAGGAAAATATGTTTCCAGACATAGCCTGTTTTGAAATTTTGGACATTTAAGATTTCAACCTGCAGTTTAGTGTTTGTTTGTTTGTTTGTTTTTATTATATTTTTTAGTATTATTATAAGGCAGTTAACGCAGAAGTTTGGTTAGTCAGGCTCTAGATGTCTATTCTTCAAGTGAGCAGTTAGTGGTAGAGTTGAACCATACAAAGGCACTCATCACACAGATAACTCAAACACGGCCCCTCACATGGACACACACCGGAAGCTCCAGTCACAGCCTTACAGCGGAGAATCGAAAGCAGCAACAAGGGATCCATGGAGACATGCTACTGAAATGTCTTTTTGTCCTTTTTTGTTTTTACTTATTGGTGAGTGTCTTATTGTGTGTGAGATGTTAGTTCATCCTCCTCCAAAGGCCAGCACAAGCCAATTCACATTGAGGTCTGTGGCGCTTTGCTCTGGGTTTTTCCAGAACAGTTTTTATTTTAGTATCGTTGAGAGTTTTTAATTATATTTTGAGTGAACTTTAATTTTTATTTTTATATATGTTATTTTAGTAATTTTTTTTTTCAGTTATATTTTAAGTTGTTTTAGTGCATCAGGTTAACATTTCATTTTATTTTAGTTAACCAAAACAGTCTGTTACTTGAAATAACGTTAACTATAACCCTGTTCCTGACCCTTTGAGCTACAAGCCTTCCAAAGATGCCACACTCTTCTTCAAATTAAATATAATGTACATTGAGGGCGAAGATGCAAGTACCCTTCTCCGTTTTTACAAATGGTCTTAAGTTCACATTCATTAAACATTGAAGGTGATTTGGACGATGCTTGTGCTGTCTTATGGCTGGGTCATGATCGTCGCTTACCAAAGAGGAACTCCATCTCCATGGTTAGACGAGTGGTCACGATATTCCCATCCATTGTTAACGGATCCGTCACATTCGTCATGGTCATCCCTCAAGTGTCCACTCCAAACCAATGGCCCGTCCTCTTTGGTAGCGAACGCTGTCATTGTACTATACTCTCTCCAAAATCACGACAGATCTGATTTGTTAGAGTTATGTACTAACTACATCTGTATGGAAACCTCAGAGTTGCCACATACGTTTTACATTTCCTCTGCCTTCTCTCAAACGAATGAGCTCCAAGTTTTTTTCCGTTTTGTCGGAAAGTTAACCATGCAGCTTAAGTTGTTGATGTCTTTTTTTATTAACCTGAGACGCTCCCGGTGCAATGAAAACCCCACGTACAGCCCGAAAGAGCAGAGACCCTAGTATCCACCCCTGTGGCACACCCTAACCCCATTTCCCCCCTGCCATCAGAATGTATATACCGCTGCCTCCTGCCGGGCCGCATCATTAATCGCAGCTCTCTCTGCTCTTGTCCTCACTGTAGGTGGTCTTTTCATTGACAATCCCTTTTACCAGCCGCGGACCATCGCTCCTTTTTTTATTCACTTGGGTCCTCAAGATCTCTTCTCTGACTTCTAGAACCATCAGGTTGTGTGGCTCTAAACTGTCGTACCACTCCAGGCTTGACCAGGCTGTCTCCACCGCACAGAAACAGCCCAAACTTCATACACTCTCCACCCAAACCCATCCATACCCAATCTAAGGATCCAAAAACGCACCAATCTTACAAAAGCAATACTCTATTTGACTTGCTCGTCCCGAAAACTGGCCGGGGACTTCGGTTCCTTCTTATATAGCAATACACTTGAACTCTTTTGGGCTTTAAGCTTACTTGAGATGTGAATGTTTGGTTGAGTCTTACTCAAACTTGGCATTGCAATATAGTCATTTTCATTGTATATTCTCCACATGTGTATGTGTGGCTATATTATAAATACATGCATATATATGTATGGTCTATGGCACTAAAAATATATATGTGTAGATATACCGATGTACTTATGTATATTTATATACAGTATATATATACATATACATATTCTTGGTATTGATTATTTTAGAATTGCAAAGTGATATGTAACCATTATACTAGGATATAACTTTCTTCCAGTTTTATATATACAGTATACATATATATATATATATATATATGCTAAGCAATTTAATCTCGTAAATTATTCTTGTGAACATGCAATATGAAAGCCCTTTTCTTAATCTACCTGTAGTAGATTAGTAATGCTTCCTACTCTCTGACTCGAGCAGCTTCGCTGTGTCTTTTCGCCAGATCTGCGCGAGTGCGCGCGCGTGTTTTTTTGCTCAGTCGACCAAAGTCTGGCGTTCTGGTTGGGTTAAGAGGTCGTCCTCCAAACATCTGGCCACTGTGCCGCCTACATCCGCACCTCACAGACGTACACACAGGTCTTTCAAAAGCACATCCGACGGCAGATTTGTTTACACTTTCTGGCCGTTGACAGAGGTGCATACTCGTACACGTAATCACGGTATGAGGGGCAGCTAATGTGACCCGGTCACTCCTCACCTTCCCCTGCAAAAGCACAGGTGACTCTCTTTAATGCGGCATAGGTGGCTCTTCATTTGCCTTTCCATTCATTTTGTCATTCTTCTCAGGCCTGTTTCACATGCACACAATAGTGGTGCGAAATTGGAAGTATTTATTTCAGTGCACATGTTTCAGCATGAGCTTGCGTTGCAGAAGCGTAGCTGCAAGTATCTGTGCTGTGCCTGTTCTTGCAGAAAATGTTGAAAATGTGCTTTGAACACAGTAGTTTGCATTAAAGGCTTTTATACACCTGAAAATAGATTTCTATTCAGTAAATATGCCTGAATCAAGATCGTTGAAGCAGTTTATAACTACACTTTGGGTTTGGGCTCAGTTCCGTGTAGATTAATTTAGATTTGAATGCAAATGTGATGTGATCCTTATGTAAATTTTCATTTTCACGATGATCAGTTTCGTAGTAATTCTCAGTGGCTAGCTCCCAATAAGTATTTAATAATTTATGGTTGATATTAAGCAGCATTCACATTCAGCATGAGCTTGCGTTGCAGAAGCGTAGCTGCAAGTATCTGTGCTGTGCCTGTTCTTGCAGAAAATGTTGAAAATGTGCTTTGAACACAGTAGTTTGCATTAAAGGCTTTTATACACCTGAAAATAGATTTCTATTCAGTAAATCTGCCTGAATCAAGATCGTTGAAGCAGTTTATAACTACACTTTGGGTTTGGGCTCAGTTCCGTGTAGATTAATTTAGATTTGGATGCAAATGTGATGTGATCCTTATGTAAATTTTCATTTTCACGATGATCAGTTTCGTAGTAATTCTCAGTGGCTAGCTCCCAATAAGTATTTAATAATTTATGGTTGATATTAAAAGAGATGCTCAGTGTAGTAACCCAGAAATCGCTATTTTGTGGTTAGAACTGCAGTTTAGCAGAAACTGTCATTGTGAAAATGCAACACATTTTATTGCAGCGCACACGTGTGTTGTGAAACAGGCCTGTTGATGCAGCAGCGTGTGGTCGCTTTTTACTTTTGCGTTTTTCTTCAGCAGGTCTGTTGTAGCGCAACTTTACGCTATCTAATTAATAACAGCACTACAAAAAACTCCCAGATATAAACCACAGAGCACAGTCATGAAAATAAGCTTGATGATATTATTTGGACTTGAAGCATCCTACCATCAGGATTGTATAACTATAGTCTGAATGCATATCGTTAAGTAAGGAAAGTAATTTTTATATCAAAATTTTCTTCTCTTGTTACCTCCACATGTATAAGAATAGATCATCCAAACAATATCACTAGTAATGTATTGATGTTTGTATGTAAAAATACTTTTGATATGTTACTGTGTGTTCAATAACCAATGGAATGTCACAATTTCTCACCGAAACCCAAATGTATAAGGCCCAGAAATTTCACAAAAATAGGACACGACTGACATACTTTACACTTGAATGTGTCCTCTTATATAAATTTCCTCATGTATTCAGTCATATTTTAGCTGTTGTGTTTGAATATGAAATATTGTAGCTCGCAAATAGGAAAAGATGGGATATAATCACAGAAATACTACAGAATAGTACTAGTTTAATAGTAATAGTACAGTGATAGTTTAATAAAAGCAATAGTACAACATGCATTATATAATAGTATCAGTTTAAATATACTTGTTTAACATAATGTCATTTTTATTTATTTATTTTGACATTTTCTTTAAGTGGAATATTTTTCAAAACAAATTCATTTTTCTGTTCCCCAACCAGACGAGACTTCGGTCACTTTTGAATTAGAGCTGGTAAGTCTTGTATGGGTAAGTTTTGTGTGGAAATGCAATAGATAGAGATTTGAGAGAAAAGCGTGTCAAAAGACCCTGCAATGACACAACATTAGATGGCCTTTATTTTTACTTTGAGCTTTTACGAATGATCGTCAAACACACAA